TAAAGCACTGAATGTTCCTGAGTATTCCGGTCGGGTGAGGGGTAAAGGTCATGGTGTGACTCCAACCTCTTTCTACCAGCATCATCGGAAAAGAAATCCTACCAATGCAGAAGTGATGAATGTACTTATGGAATTACAAGCAAAAGTCAATGCATTGGAAAGAGATAAAGAGGTATTAATGAGGGAAAAGGGCAATGCGGCAATGGCGAAAGAAACTAGTGACAACGCTAGTATCAACCGTCAGAATAAATTTCCTGAGGTAATTATAAATATATTGATAAATCTCTATTGTTCAAGTTTCTCATTTTTATTCCACCTCTTTTTATTATTGAATTAAAAGTAATATGTATGCATATTGGTTTAGGGCATTTCATCTTGCCAACTATACGTAATGGCATCAGATTATCACCTTGTTGGCAAGGGAAAAGTGTACAACACTTTGGGAGATTTAATTCATAATACACCGATCCCGGCTGGACACCTGAGAGTATCAGTAGATTATCCTATTGATCCCGATGCGTTGGTACCGGTACCTGACGTGGCCTTGGATATAAGATCGGTGCGAGACGCAGTAGGGTCGTTTGTTGCATGGCCCTTGGACCTCATTTTCATTGATGATGAGGTATGTTTAAAACCATTAATATGAATCATTTAGATTTCAAATGTCAATTCTGAACCGTTAAGTTAATTATTTTTTAATATTAGCCTCCTACAAAACCCGCTAATAAGGGTAAGGAGATTTTGTAGCAAGGCGGCGAGTCTATGGCATCAATTCCAGAGGTACACTTAAATTGTTTATTATATGATATGAATTTAAAACTGAACGATTTTATAATTTACCTAAGTTATATGATTGTTAGGTATCTGCGAAAGTGTCACAACAAGTGACCCAGCCTGTTCGTAGCAGACCACCCCCGAAAAAGTCAATGCATAAGGGGGGAAGAGGCGGGGGAAGAGGCGTTTTTGTACCTCGATATCGGAATACACTTGGAGTACTTTTGGAAACCTCAGATTTGAAGTCAGGTGGTATTCGTCGAATCCTTATGGATGCAGGTATCTTTGGTCTTGACTGCGAAGAAACGATAGGAATGGACGAAATGACTGAGATTATGACGCATGGTGAATTAGGCATCGGCAATGTTCACGCATACATCCGGTATTCCGATAAATATATCATTTAATTAGTTGAACAATTTATTTACACATTTCAATGAAAATAGTCTAATGTTTATATGTTTTTATTTAAGGTTGTTGTACGATAAAAAAATGCGCGAGACTGTATTGGCAAGACGCTTCCATTTCTTGTCTACCCATATTGTCAGCGGAGCGACAATTGTCAGGGAACCGGGTTCAGTTAGGGAGTACTTAGTGAATCGATACACGGCCTACGTCGGCAACCCAGATAGCTTGTTTATTTTGCCGTATAACACTGTTCCAGTGGGGTGAGTTTTTCATTTATTCTAATATATCTTTGTTTATTTTGCGTAGAAACTTTTCTTCTAAACTGTTGCTTAAATTTTTAGAAAACACTGGTTGTTGTTGGCTATCGATCCGATTAAAGAAGTTGTGTACTTTCTGAATTCGGTAGACGGGGAATGGACTAACTATCCCGCTATGAAGGAAACTGTTGATCAGTAAGTGAGATCGTTCTAACTATTCGTGTATATTTATATATTTAATTATTTCTGTGAGATTGATCTAAATATATGTTTTTATTTTCTTAGATCAATACAAATATTTCGTAGTCAAAGGGACGCACAGGTACCCCGGAGTAAATCATCAAATATTACTTGGATCAAAGTGCAGGTACAAAATTAGTTGCTTATAATAATAGTTATGTTACTTGATAAAATTACACGACAACTATAAAATATATTCTGTTTTTCTATGCAGTGTCCGTTACTGAATAACGATGTAGATTGCGGATACTTTTGCTTGAGGTTTATGAAAGAAATCCTTCATAAAAATCAAGTAGAGATTCCAAGCACGGTATGGATTTATAACTTAGAATAATTTTGTATGATTTCTACATTTAATAACATCATGCATATGCTGAAGTAATAATTTCTTATGTAGTACTTTGATGACCTCTATACTATGTCGTACACGAAAGTTCAAGTGGAAGAAGTCAAAGAGGAAATATGTCAATTTTATGTTGAAAACAGATTATTCTGATGGGTATGAATAAAATATTATTGTACGTGTTAGTTTGATTGTGTTGGAGCCTTTAATATTGTTTGTTTAATTTACCGTGTTGTTCATATTCATACTTTGCAGGATGACGACCGTGTCGGTGGAGCATTATTTTCGATGTAATTATATATGATTTAGTTACATATGTATATATATATGGTTACAAATTAACACGATACTTTGTATGTGATTTAGTTATGGTTACAAATGTATATATGGTTACAAATTTAGTTATATATGATTTAGTTACATATATATAGATAAGGATTGAATATTATATGGTATACCGGTTTCTGTTAATATAATACCGATTTCTTAAAATATATGTATAGATAAGGATTGAATTACAGGTTAAATTATTGGACCAAAAAAAAATTACAGGCCGCACAGGGAACCTCAAATTATAGGTTTCACTTTAAAAAATTTGTATGAGCTACGAAAGCGCTTTTGGCTAAAAAGCGCTTTCGTAGGCAGCATAAATAAATAAAAAATTAAATAGAAACCCCCTATCAAAGCGCTTTTTATGGAAAAAGCGCTGTGAAAGACCCCCCTATCAAAGCGCTTTTTCCATAAAAAGCGCTGTAAAAGCCATGATAAATAAAAAAACAAAAATTAAATAGAACCCCTATCAAAGCGCTTTTTATGGAAAAAGCGCTGGGAAAGACCCCCCTATCAAAGCGCTTTTTCCATAAAAAGCGCTGTAAAAGGCCTGATAAATAAAAAAAAAATTTAAATAGCACACCTATCAAAGCGCTTTTCAAAAAGCGCTGGGAAAGACCCCCCTATCAAAGCGCTTTTTAAGGAAAAAGCGTTGGGATAGGTCCACCTACGACAGCGCTTTTGGCCAGAAAAAAGCGCTTTCGTAGCCTACGCCAGCGCTGGCTACGGCAGCGCTTTTAAGCGCTTTTAAAGGGCAAAAAAAAGCGCTGTGAAAGCCCATTTTCGTAGTAGTGTCCCTTAAGAGAAATGCTAAGATATCTCACAACATTGCTATTCAGGACTATACGATGACCCACGCCCGTCCCTTCACATCCAATGATAGGGCTTCTTATCAATCAATGGTAAGATAGCAACATCTAAAGGAGGAGGAAATGAACAAAAGACTTTTTGAGTAGGTAGAACGTTCTTAGTTGCTTGCTCACAATCCATCTTCAAAAACAAACATCTTTTTAAACACACCAAACACTTTCAAAACATGAAATATTTTCAAAAGGTCCAACACTTTGTATGCATTCTTATAGAGACAAGAATCATTACAAAGTTTGCCTAAATGAATGCGCTTTTCAAAAATACTTTCAAAAACATCACAAACACATTTCAAACAAAGCATTTCAAAGTGATCAAGCAACTAAGAGCCCATAGATAACTATGGATGAAAAGGGTGCTAACACCTTCCCTTTTCATAATCTACACCTCAAACTCAAGAAAATATCTCAAAGGTCTTTCCTGTTCTTTTCACCCTTTCCTTATTGGATAAAAGAAAAGTCGGTGGCGACTCTTGCTATCCACAACAATTGCGATAAAATGCAAAACACTCAAGTCAGTTCTCCCATCATATTACACTTAGGAACGAATACAATATGGGGGAGACTCTATGATTTTTTAGCCGCAACACACTGTAAACATCATAAATATCACCAAATATGTCCTCTTGCCCCCGTGGGTAAGCCATAACAAACATTAATTGCTAAAAAAATTTAGTATCCCCTACTCGTGAAGGGATATCACACACACATGTATAATTAATGATAATTACTTTAAATATGTCATATTTTATTTTAAAATAACTCAAGACCCACGTTTTTTTATATTAAACATCCTCATTCAATAAATGAAAAAAAAGGAGTACAAATAAATTGTCAAACAATAAGTAAGGGCATTTCCCATCCTCATACTAAATTCAAAACTAAAAGTTAAGCCTACAAAAAGTTGGAAAACAATAAACTTTGAGAAATTAGAATCCAGTGGAGTATTACCAATCCAATTCCTTAATCTAAGCAACCAAGCAACATTCTTTGACAAAATATAAAAGATTTTTGGAACCATAATCTTAAAGTTTATCTAGTTAAGGATAATTTATTTGGCTTTATTCCGCACACTTTGATTATATAGTCTCTCTAGATTAATTAAAATCACCATCTTTGAAAGAAGCCTATGTAGAAAGGAAGAGAGAGTTCGATTAGGTAGTTCACTTAGATTTTTACTCAAAAACTCATTTTCTTCATCCAAACCTCTTTAGAGCATATCATCAAACACCTTAGAGACACACTTAAAATAGGCTAAATAAAAGCATAACAGACACAATTGAAGCAAAACACTTACACTAGGATGTCAATAGACACACAATAAGATACTCCAAAAAGCAAAACATTTTTTAGACATATTGTCAAACACCAAGATTGCTTACTTAGATCCCAAAGGAAAACACAAGACAAAAAACACAAAACTAAAATTAGATAAATGGAAAAGAGGAAATAATAAAAAAAATCGTAGATAAACCATGGCGACTTTGGAGATGGGTGAATGGTTAACAACTTCGAAGGTGTAGGAGCGGTTGGTGGTGGCTATAGTGGAGGCCGCGTCAATAGAAGGAGCTTTGGAGATGGACGGATGGTTGACAACTTTGAAAGTGTGAAATAGTGGGTGGTGGTGGCTCTGGTGGCGTCCACTTTAGGAAAAGGAGGGGTTTGGTGGTGGTTTGTGGTAGTGAAAGAGGGTAGCCGGTGAGTGAGTTAGTTTTACTTAGAGCATGAATGTGTAGTTGAGTGAAAGGGTTAAAGCTCTCCATAGAGGAGGGGACGACAACCATGAAGGTGGAAGATGAAAACCACCATAAAGGTGGGGAGTAGCCGTCAAATCCTAAATGGTTGAAGGAAAACTGCATAGAGAGAAGGGAGAGTATCTCTCTCTATAAGCAAACCTTAAACTTAACAAGACTCACATTGAATAGAGATAAATAATATACTAAAATCTAAAAAATTGAAATTTTTATTTAAAAACTAACATATTAACTTTAAAAAAATTAAATACATAGTTTTTTTTTTAAATTATTATATTTAATTCCTTAATTTGTATTTGTAGAGCAAAAAATATCGTTGTCCATAATAAAATTGTATATGTGTAATATATTTTCTATACATAACTAAGGGTGATAATTTGAACCATTCCTAATAGCCACCCACAAAAAATACCCACTATGAATAAGATAAAAAATCGCAAAATAGATACAGGAATGTGTTTGGGTAATTGCTCATTTAAATAATCAGGTATGAGTGTGAGTTAGTATCCACCCCGCCTCATACCCGCATAATATATATATATATATATATATATATATATATATATATATATATATATATATATATATATATATATATATATATATATATATATATATATATATATATATATATATATATATATATATATATATATATATATATATATATATATATATATATATATATATATATATATATATATATATATTGGATAGGAATGTGGAGACTTAAGCATATATAAGTGGGAGAACCCACTCACCTATCACCTTAAGGTTTTAGGTGGATAAGTGGTGTGTCTCTCACAAAGGTTCTTATTCCTACACTATGTATTGATGCTCCTAGTATCTCCCCCCAACATGGTATCAGAGCCTTTGGTTCGAGAAAGGGACCGGAAGAGACTTGTATCGAAATGCGCCCAGGAAGTGGTGTTCCGTTGCAAGATGTCAATAACGGTACAAGTGAGGGAGCATTGTGGACTCACACTTGAGGGGGAGTGTTGGAATAATATAGCAAGTGTGAGTAAGTGGGGAAATAGTCCCACATTAGATAGGAATATGGAGACTTAAGCATATATAAGTGGAAGAATCCACTCACCTATCACTTTAAGGTTTTAGGTGGATAAGTGGTGTGTCTCTCACAAAGGTGCTTATTCCTATACTATGTATCGATGCTCCTAGTATCACCCCAAACAATTCTCCCCCAGCTATATGGGCACCTTTTCAAAAATTCCCCCGTAAAAAAAAAGTTGCATGAATTCCTCTAACATTTGAAGATTCTCTTATTTTTTTACCTTCATCACATCTAGTCACCAAAAAAACTGACTTGTCGGGGTTTTTTTTTCCTGTATTACAGCTCCTGCGCCTACCTACTAGACTGGATGTTTCGTTTTGTAATTGCAGCGCATTTAATTGTTCTTATAGCATTCGCTTACAAGGACAATTCCTTTGTACGCAAGCAATATGAATTCTTTGTCTTCTGAAATACTTGTTGAGAGGAGTTGTTGAATAATTTACACTGACGCAACATTGTTTTGTTATTATAGAAGAAAGCAAGATGAAATGGTTTTAGGTGATCTGAATGTTAAACCGGGCCAAGCATGAGAATTTTTCCTAAGAGAGACTTTAAGAAGAACTTCCAAAATTCTTAAAGATGAATTTGACTTGGTATGTTGCACAGCTTGAACAACGTCAACAACTGTGTCGAGTGCATTTTTAAACGGTTTCAGATTTGTGATGTTTAAATAACAATTTATATTCGGCTTCTAGGTAATGAATGCAGGATTTGAGAATGACTTTTTTCTCTTGAAGAGCCTAACAAGGTATGTCATTTCAAAATTATCTTGTGATATGATAGTAAAATTTTCCATGCCTATTATTTATTATAAACATGAATAAAATCTTTCAGGGAAGGGAAAGAAGAATGGATACTATTTGAGTCGTGTCCTCATTGCTCCTCGTCAGTGTTTGATGCTGATTCTACAATACTTCACAAAGATACTTCTGCTTTACATTCTATGGGAATTCCAGTAGAACAAGTAAATATTAAGAAATTAATATGACTTCAGTTGATATTTTCATTGAATTTATGGAAACAGATTATGAACTTGTTTTATTATAAAATTTTGCAGTTACATGCATAAGCTAGAGATGGTCAGTTTGAATTGGTTTTAGGATACACCATTTGTGTGAAAGCTGCAGACAACTTAGTTTATATGCGCGAAACCGTTAGATCTATTGCTAGAAAACATGGTTTGCTTGCAACTTTTGTTCCAAAGTAAGTGACAATGTTGGGTCTTAGAAGTATGAAATTTTGTATATAGGATACTCCAGTAGCTACTAACAATAGAAAATTTTCATATTGAAGGTACACATCAGATTATGATTTTGGTTCTGGATGCCATGGGCATCTAAGCTTGTGGCAGAATGGTCGAAATATATTTATGGCATCTGATGGTATAATAATTCTTTAAGATATGAAAAACTTTTTACCACCATCTCTTTTCACCTTTATGAGATTCTCTGCCAAACCAGTAATTTTGATGCTTAACTAATGTGACTTATTATGGCAGGCTGAAATTGATCATTACTTGGAAAACAAGAAGGCATACAAGCAACTCATATACCGTTATTGAGCTTCTTGTCTGTTTTTTCTATGCAAGACTGCTCAGAGAGTATGATTTAAATTCTAGAGAATTTTCATGGTTTGAATTTACATTTCTGTGTGTTTGATAGAAGACCCACCAGAATTGCAGCCAAGCCCAAATATTTAAAAGATTTTATTCTCAACTAGTTAATTTTATTTTGTTAATTTTTGACTTTTATATTTCTTTTGGGCCTGACCCATAGTTGAGACCCTTTAGGGTTATTCTGTTTGTATTTAAGCTGGTGGCTGCATAAATGAAAGGTAGGAAAAATTAACACAACTTTATTTCTTCTTGTATTTTCTTAGCAATTTAGTTTTGTGTTTGTCCTTGGTTACACCCTAGATCTAGGTATCAATAATTGTGGAACCTCTTTCTATCAAATTGGTGCTTTCATTCTTGCACTCATGGCCCCTCCAAAACCCCCCAACCCTAGAGAAATTGTGGAAGAAGCAGTTCATACAGCACAGGCCCATTTGAGCAATGTTATGCAAGAAAACCAACAACAAATGGATGAGCGATTTGAAAAAACACAGTCAGATTTGGAACAAATTCATATTCGCATGGATAATGAAAAGCAAGTGGCTGATTCAAGATATGAAAACATCATGGGTTTGCTCACAAAGCTGGCAGCTCAGGCAGAAAAACAACCCGCTGTGGCTACTGTTTCATCTACTGTACACGCACCTACTGTTCATGGCAGTCCCACCCTTGGCTCTACTGTTCATAACGCTACTGTTCACGGCGCCAGCTCATCAGGTGTGGTTCAAAATTCTTCCTTACTTAACCTGAACACTACTGTTCATTCCCCTATCTCAACTTTACACACACCTCACTCATCCCTCAATTTTCCACGTCACTCAAATACCCCAATTTCTAGTAATTTACCACCACCCCCAAGGTTCTCAGCAGTGGGCACAACAACCTCTTCTGTCCCTAGATTCTATTCTACTCAACCTTATCTTGATTCTGTTACTTACTTCCCACCCCCTATTTTTACCACCACCCAGCCACAACCAACGCACCATTATAACCAAATACCATTTGCTCCACATTTTCCCCCACCACCCCCCACCTTCCGCACTCCGAAACTTGAACTAGCAATGTTTGATGGATCAAACCCACTCGAATGGTTATTCCAAGCTGAACAGTTTTTTACTTTTTATAATTTACCACCAGAAAATCGCATGGCTATGATGTCCTTTTATATGAAGGGAGAGGCTTTATGTTGGTTTAAGTGGATGCATCAAAACCATCAGCTTATGGATTGGATTTCTTTCACTAAAGCACTTGAATTGCGCTTTGGCCCATCTACGTATACTAACCACCAAGCCGAATTGTTCAAGCTAAAACAAACTCATTCTGTTGTGGAATATCAGGCTCAGTTTGAAAAATTGGGAAATCAAGTTGTTGGCCTCTCTCACGATGCTATCCTAAATTGTTTTATTTCAGGATTAGCCCCAGAAATTCAAAACGAAATTGCCATTCACAAACCCATCTCCATATCCCAGGCCATTGGACTAGCCAAATTAATTGAATCCAAGTTAAGAGATGCCAAGCCCAAATTCCAAAAACCATATACCCCAACTACCATCAGACCCAGCCCACCAGGACAACAATTTCCTAACCCACCACCTATACCCAAGCCATCAATTTCAGCCCAACCGACTAAATTACCTATCCGTCGCCTCTCTAATGTTCAATTACAGGAACGTCGTGCGATGGGACTCTGTTTTAATTGCGATGAGAAATTCATTCCTGGCCATAAGTGTACTGCTGGTAAATTCCTTTTATTGGTAGATGATGATGAACAGATTGATCCTTCTCCCCAAGAAGACAATTTGGAGACTAGCAGTTTAAGTCTGGAACAAAGTGATACCTATTTCCAACTCTCCCCTCAAGCTGCCAACGGCCATTTTTCTCCTAAGACTTTAAAATTCAAGGGATCAATCAAGGGTCTATCTGTTACTGTTCTAATTGACACCGGAAGTACGCATAACATTTTACAACCACGGATTGCACAACATCTCAAACTTCCTACCAAACCAATACCTAACTTTTCTGTCATGGTGGGAAACGGCTCAAAATTATCTTGTTCAGGGATGTGCCCAACTGTCCCAATTCAGCTTCAAAACACTGCCTTCTTAATTCCCTTTCATTTACTTCCTATTGAGGGGGCAGATGTAGTTCTTGGTATGGAATGGTTGCGCACTTTAGGACCGTTAATGGCTGATTTTTCAATCCCTAAGATTTCTTTCACCTACAACAACAATGAAATCACCATAACTGGCGATACAAAAACACTCATCACCCCATCCTCTTTCAACAGTTTGTGTCATCTCCTACAAACCGACTCTATTGCCTCTATCCATCTCCTTCTTTACCAACCTTCGGACAACGAATCTAACTTCCAGGACTCCTCCACACCTAACAGTTTTGACTCTCTTCCCACAACAGTTCCCACCCAGATTTCCTCTATCATCAAATCCTATTCAACCATTTTTGACAAACCTCACGGTTTACCACCATCTAGACCCCATGATCACAGAATTCCAATTATTCCAAACACTTCACCTGTTAATGTTAAACCATACCGTTATCCCCACTCCCAAAAAGATGCAATGACTATAATCATTAAAGATATGTTGCAGGAGGGTATAATTAAACCCAGCAACAGCCCTTATTCATCCCCAGTTCTTTTGGTTCGAAAAAAAGATGGATCCTGGCGTTTTTGCGTCGATTACAGAGCCCTTAATGCAGTAACTATTCGTGACCGTTTCCCAATCCCCACCATAGATGAACTTTTTGATGAACTAGGTTCCGCGACTATTTTTTCTAAGATTGATTTACGATCTGGCTATCACCAGATTCGGGTAACTTCCGAGGACACTCACAAAACTGCGTTCAGAACGTTTGATGGACACTACGAGTTCTTAGTAATGCCTTTTGGATTGACTAACGCTCCTAGTTCTTTTCAATCAGCTATGAACGATTTGCTTCGACCATACTTAAGACGGTTTGTGCTAGTTTTCTTTGATGACATTTTAATTTACAGTTCTTCAATTTCTGATCATGCCAAGCACTTAAAATTGATTTTAGATTTACTATTGTCTAATCAGTTTTATGCAAAATTGTCAAAGTGTGTTTTTGCTGTTCCTAGTGTTGATTATTTAGGTCATATTATCTCATGCAATGGTGTAACCCCAGATCCAACTAAAATTCAAGCTATTCTTGATTGGCCAAGGCCACGCTCACTCACGGCACTCAGGGGTTTTTTAGGTCTCACCGGTTTTTATCGATGATTTGTTCGCCATTACGCCACTCTCGCCGCTCCCCTCACCGATTTATTGAGTTCCACTAAATTACATTGGGGTACAGATGCAGAGCATGCTTTTACAACTTTGAAAAATAAAATGACAGATCCACCGGTCTTGTGCCTCCCAGATTTCTCCTTTCCTTTTGTTCTGGAAACAGATGCTTCAGCGGTTGCAATCGGAGCAGTTTTATCTCAGCAAGGACATCCAATTGCCTTCTTCAGCAAAAAAATGTGCAAACGGCTTCAAGCTTCTTCAGTGTATGTTCGAGAAATGTTTGCCATTACCGAATCTGTCAAGAAATGGAGACAATATTTAATTGGAAGACATTTTCATATTTATACAGATCAAAAGAGTCTAAAGAATTTGCTCGTACAAACTATACAAACTCCAGAACAGCAAAAATGGGCTGCTAAACTGCAAGGATTCCATTTTGATATTCATTACAAACCTGGGAAAGCGAATCAAGTAGCAGATGCCCTTAGCAGAATCCAACTTGAGGAGGAGGCCCAGTTCTTCTCAATCTCTTCACCAGTTCCAGCCATTTTGCAGCAGTTGAAATCACACTATCTGTCAACTTCACAAGGGAAGGCACTCATCAACAAAATTTTGGGAGATCCATCCATCCAACATAATTTTCAGCAAAAGGAAGGTCTTGTCTATTACAAAGATAGAATTTACTTACCCGACATTCCAGAACTGCGGCACAACATCATCACAGAATTTCATTCCACCCCTACTGGAGGCCATTCTGGTCTTCAACCCACTCTGGCTCGAATGGCATCCTCTTTCCGCTGGCCTGGTATGTACAAAGACACCAAGACATTTATAAAAACCTGCACCATTTGTCAACATAACAAATACATGCCTAAAAGAAAACAAGGACTGGTCCAACCCTTACCCACACCAACGCAAGTATGGAGTGATTTGAGCATGGATTTCATTACCCACCTTCCTAACTCTCACAGTCACACAGTTATCTGGGTCATTTGCGACAGGTTGACGAAGTTTTCCCACTTCATTGCCCTTCCTTCCCATTTCTCTGCCAAGGATTTGGCCATCCGTTTCTCTGTAGACATCTGTCGTCTGCACGGTGTTCCCACGTCCATTGTATCTGATCGAGACCCCATTTTTCTCAGCACCTTTTGGAAAGAGCTTTTTCGCGTACAAGGTACAACTCTGAAATTTAGTTCAGCGTACCATCCTGAAACAGATGGACAGACAGAGGTAGTTAACAGATGTTTGGAAACCTACTTACGGTGTTTTACAAGTGATAACCCAAAAAGATGGTTCAACTACTTACACTTGGCGGAATTTTGGTTCAACACGAGTCAACACTCGGCCATCAAGATGTCTCCCTTCGAAGCCTTGTACGGTCGCACCCCTCCTTCGTTTCCGTCATACACAGCCGGGTCAGCCACCATCACAGCTCTTGATGATTCTCTGAAAGAAAGACACGAACTATTACAAACACTACAACGTAACTTGGCTAAGAGTAAACAACTGATGGAAGACCAGATCAACAAGAAAAGAGTCGACTGTACCTTTGCCGTCGGGGATCGCGTCTTAGTGAAACTTCAACCTTACCGACAATCGTCTGTGCACCGCCGCCCCTCGCAGAAACTGGCTAAGAGATATTTCGGTCCTTTTGAGATTAAGCACAAAGTTGGTAGTGTGGCTTACGAACTCAATCTGCCTTCGTCTTCACGAATTCACCCAGTTTTCCACGTCTCTCAACTACGCCCTTTTCATGTGCGAGACTCTCCTCAGATTCCGATTCCGCCTGAGTTTGAACCACCACCGGATGGGGAAGACAGGGATGCTGGTGCTCCGTTTGCCACCTCCGAGGAACCCCCACACTTGCCGTTGTCTCCCACACATGCAACTGAGAGTGAGTTTGTGTTACAACCAGCACCCAGAGAGGAGAAGATTAATGTTTGTGAGTTAAGCAAAAACAAAAATCTCGTTCAAGTACCACCAACCCCACTTGTTTCTAGTCTTAATGATAATGGGACAGATGGAACGCATGCGTGTGACAATGCCACTTTAATGCCCAACACGCCAACATTGCATCCCAACGTCTCTCTGATGCCGCCATCTGGACCGTCCATTACCCCACCAAAGAAAAACTTTTCTGTTGCTCCACTGCCCAACACGCATGCAAGCACGTTTCCTCATGCCTTGCCGCCACCTATTCCCCATGCAGCAGGGGTAGCTGTACCCGGGACCCCACACTCTCCTTTAGTGCAACCAGCTGGATCCATGATTCAATTCCCAAATCCTGGTACTGTTGGGCCTTCTAATTGGGCCACCGGGTTTAATTCTCAATGCTTCAAACCCATCCTTGAGGACAAGGACGTTTTTGGGCCGGTGAGTAGTGATAGAAGACCCACCAGAATTGCAGCCAAGCCCAAATATTTAAAAGATTTTATTCTCAACTAGTTAATTTTATTTTGTTAATTTTTGACTTTATATTTCTTTTGGGCCTGACCCATAGTTGAGACCCTTTAGGGTTATTCTGTTTGTATTTAAGCTGGTGGCTGCATAAATGAAAGGTAGGAAAAATTAACACAACTTTATTTCTTCTTGTATTTTCTTAGCAATTTAGTTTTGTGTTTGTCCTTGGTTACACCCTAGATCTAGGTATCAATAATTGTGGAACCTCTTTCTATCAGTGTTTATTGATTGTAGTTAAGCTAAATTAAGGATAATTATATCTCGTTTGGCTAGAGTTCTATCTTAAAGTTGAAGATATTTTTGCTTTACCGCCATATTAATGTTTTCATAATTAGAAATATTTCTGTTTATTTCTCTAAATTCGAAGAGTTTATTTTTTTTTAAAAACCAACTTAAATATTGAGTATTTTCTTAAGGAATAAAATTAAGTAAGCTCAACTGTATTTTTTTCTATTTTAATTAAAATTTATTTATTTTTAACTAATTTTTTTTAGAGTTAAATATGTTTTTAGTCTCTATAAAATTATTAAATTTTTATTTTTGATCCTTATAAAAAAAATGACATATTTTGATCCTTAAAAATTATTATGCAAGAAGTTTTAATTTTTGTTGTTAAACCAAAATATATTTTTGAATTATTATTTTGCAAAATGTTTAGATTTCTAAATCGAGGTTTTCATTACTTTTATTATTATTATTATCTAAGTCGAGATTTCGTAGCCGTTGATGATTATCGATAGTCTATTGTCGGCGGTAACTAGTGATGACTAAGGGTGTAATCGGTTCAATCTGGATCAATTTTTGTTTAAAAAAATGTATAAATCGATGATATCTCTATTGATTTGGTTTGGTTAGATTTTTAATATTTATTAAAAATGGAACCGAAACAAACAAATTGGATTGATTCGGTTTGGTTTAGTTTGGTTGATTGATTTACAATATTTTTTTCAAACATTATATGTTATTATCATGTTTTTTGATTTATTTAATGCTATTATTTTTTTAAATAGATTTTTTATAATTTATTCTATAATATATTTTTTCAAATAAATTACACATTGTTTTTAATCTATATAAGAGGTGATATGATTTCCATTACATTAAAATAAATTCACTATTAATATAAAAGTTTGCAATCGATAGAAGGGAATTTGAAAGCTTAAGAAATTAAACATAACAATAAAATCAAAAAGTTTTTATACACATAAATTAACATATCTCACACCTTAAACACATATCAAAAATATGTTGTAACAAGACTAGAATAAATTTTGTCGAAGAAGAAATAAAAAAAGTAAAAAAAAAAACTAATGAAGAGATACGGAATACAAAGAAGAAAAACATAAAATATCAGAATGACGGTAGAGAGAAATAGTTGTGGTAAGGACCTCGGTGAGAACAAATTTTTTGTGAGCTATAGTTTCCACTTTATATTTCTATATTTGAAGTTTAGTTCTAATTGTGTGTTTTATTGAGCGTAGATGGAGAATGATTGGACGATACAAGACATAATTATGAGTGGAATAAAAAAATTAAAGAATAATTATAATGATTGATTCCGTTGTTCATCGATTTGACGGTTCTTAAAAACTAAAATTGAAAAACTAAACTATATTATCTCAATTTATTATTAATTTAGTTCGTTTTCGGAATCAATCCAAAAACAATTAATATTTTTTTAAATTGATTTTATTTAAATTATAAATTTAATTAATTTTTCTAATCCACTTACATCTTACTTATGACTAGATCTTTAATACTATTTAATTAAATTTATACTAATTAAATTTATACGGCTTCACTTTGCCTCAACATATTACAAAAAGTAAATAATTAAATTTGAAAAACTATTTTAAGATGTTTTTTTACAAAAAATATATAAATTATTCAAAATTAAAAATATATTTTTATTCACAAAGAAATATTAAAAAGAGAAAAGTTAGTATTTGATAAAGTTACTTATAAACAGAAAATACAGAAAATAAATTTTAAAAAATAAAATAAAAATAAAATTGTAGACGACTAATAATAAAAAAATATTTTTTAAGAAAAAAAAATGAAACGAGTTAATGAAAATAACTTCAAAGAAAAAAGAGAAAAAATGAAAAGAGTAAAAGGAAAAAAGTATACGTACCTGCTCGTTTTTTATTGACTGAAAAATATAAAAATAAATATAGATTTCTTTGAAATTGAACCAAAAACCTATCTATATATATAGCAGAGAACAACTTCATCCATCAACTCAACAAACATAAATATAACAAAAAAGAAAAATCATTCACAAGAAAGCCATGACAAGCACCCATGTTTCTCTCTTCCTTAGCTTTGCATTCCTCTTATATGTGAATTTGGTTTTTTGTTTTCCAGTGGTGGGAGGAAGTAAGGTGACATTCACAAACCGATGTCAATACACCGTATGGCCAGGAACACTAACTGGAGACCGAAAGCCACAACTATCATCAACAGGTTTTGAGTTAAGATCCGGAGAAGCAACCTCATTGAACCTTCCATCTCCTTGGTCGGGTAGGTTTTGGGGCCGAACCCGATGCTCCCTCAACAACGGAAGGTTCAGTTGTGCCACCGCTGATTGTGCATCTGGTAAAGTTGTGTGCAACGGCGCCGGTGCAATTCCACCAGCAACTTTGGTAGAATTGACAGTAGCATCAAATGGGGGACAAGATTTCTACGACGTGAGCAATGTTGATGGGTTCAACGTGCCTGTGTCTATAACACCACAAGGTGGGAGAGGTGACTGCAAAACCTCCAGTTGTCCAGGGAACATCAATGCTGTGTGTCCTTCAGAGCTTCAAGTGAGAGGCTCTGATGGAAGTGTGGTTGCTTGTAAGAGTGCTTGTTTAGCTTTTAATCAGGATCAATATTGTTGTCGTGGAGCTTACAATACCCCAGAAAAATGTCCACCCACAAACTATTCTACTATTTTCAAGAAGCAGTGTCCAAGTGCCTATAGCTATGCTTATGATGATAAGACCAGCACCTTCACTTGCTCTTCAAGACCCGACTATGCCATCACATTTTGTCCATCCTCTTGAAATTATTTAACTTATATGTTTCTATCTATAATAAAATGAGTGCATATATATAAACTCACAAATAAATAAACAAACTTGTGCTATAATATAAACCACAAATATGAATGTCTTAAATTATTGTATTCTATTAGTTAATATATTATTTGGGCCCTTCTCTTAATGTTATGTGTTACAAGGTTGTATAATTTTTATGGTTTTTATGAAGGTTGTAGTAACTACATTATTGCAAAAAAAAATTAATTAGGATTCTTGAGAATGTGACTTCTATTAGACTCTAAAAGGGGAACAACATCTAGCATCTTTTCATTAAAAGAATTTGTAAATGTTAGTGCGTGAGACTCTTTTAATGAGAAGAGAAAGAGATAATAATAAAAGAAATAAGGATGTGTATTATTGAATTGTACAAATAATGATACACATTATAACTATTTATACACAATCCTAATTGGGTTTGGGCTAACACAACTTGGATTATATTTAAATATTAAATCTAAACAAATCTAATCTAATATAATTTAATATTTCAACACACCTCTATAATCCAAGTTGTTGAACATCCTCAAAAATAGTCAATCTGAACTATTTCTAATTTCTTTTTCAAATTCAGGAATTTGTCGATCTTCAATCCTTTGGTGAAAATGTCGGCCAACTGTGCTTCACTTGACCAATACCTAACTTCAAGTTCACCTTGATTTACTTTTTCCCTCAAGAAGTGAAACCTTGCTTCAATATGTTTACTTCTTCCATGCAGAACTGGATTCTTCGCCAGATTTGTGGCTGACTTATTGTCGATTTGCAATACTAGAGGTTTCTTCACTTCGATAGTCATTTCTTCAAGTACAGATCTGATCCAAATTGCTTGACATGCAACATAAGATCCTGCTATATATCCAGCTTCACACGATAACAATGCCACCACAGGTTGCTTTTTCGAACACCATGAGATTGGGGCACCAAATATTTGAAAGAAATATCGAGTTATGCTTCTTCGATCTTCCTTATCTCCACACTAATCAGCATCTGAAAAACAATTAACTATTGCTTCTTTGCCTTCAGAATCTCGTCGAAATAGTATTCCATAATTTATTGAACCCTTCAAATATCTCAGGATTCTTCTTGCAGCCTTCATATGTGACACTCTTGGTCCACCCATATATCTGCTTACTAATCCGACTGTGAAACCTATATCAGGTCGACTGTTGCACACATACCTCAGAGATCCCACAATTTGCTTGAACAAAGTTGCATCGACTTTGTCTTCCTCGCCATTCTTCTCCAAGTTCACATTTGGTTTGACAGGTGAGGATGTAGGATTCGAATCATCCATTCTGAATCTCTTAAGTATATCTTTGACATACTTTCTTTGATGTAGCACCATACCTTGCTTTGACATTTGAAATTCCATGCCTAGAAAATAAGATAATTTTCCTAGATCTCACATTTCAAATTCCTTCGTCATCAGCTCTTTGAACTTCGACAAGTTCTCCAAACTATTTCCAGTTACTAGCAAGTCATCAACATACAAGCAGATGATTGTTATATCTTGTGCTACAACCTGAACATAGACACGATACTCTGATTTGCATTTGACAAATCCCAATTCGACTAAGTATGAGTTGATCTTCTTGTTCCATGTCCTAGGTGCCTGCTTGAGGCTATAGAGAGCTTTGTGCAATCTATATACTTTACTCGCTTCCTTATGAATCACAAATCCAAGAGGTTGTGTGACATAAACTTCTTCGTCTAAAGGACCATTCAGAAATGTTGATTTCACATTTAGATGGAATGTCGAGCAGCCTTGGTTGCATGCCAATGCTACCACTAGTCGAACAATTTCTAATCTTGCTACTGGAGCAAATACTTCAGAGTAGTCGAGTCCTACTCTTTGAAGAAAACCTCGAGCTGCTAATCTTGATTTATGTCTTGCTATTGACCCATCTGCATTGTGTTTCAACTTGAACACCCACTTTACTTCGATAGTTTTTGTATGTGCTGGCAATTCTACTAACTCCCATGTGTTGTTTCTTTCGATTGCCTATAACTCTTCGACCATAGCTAACTTCCACTTGTTAATCTTCAAAGCTTCATTATAGTTGATTGGTTCAGCACCTACAAGTAAAGCAAAATGAACTAATTCTCCATCTGGTGTGATTTCATCATCACCCACCACTTCATAATCATGAAGTCTTGTTGGAAGAACTCTATTTTTTTGAGGTCTTTGATTTGTTTCAGCCACAACCTCTTCGACTTCGACTGTGTTGGGAGTGTCAGCAACTGCTTCTTCTTCGACTTCGACTGGATTCTCAACAATTCCTTTGACCTCTACTTTATCAGTTTCTTCGTCGAAATCAAAGTTCATTAATGGATTGTTAATTGAATTGCTATAATTCCAATCCTAGGCAGAATTTTCATTAATCACAATATCTCGACTCAACACAATCTTCTCATTAACTGGACTGAATAGTATGTATGGACTAGTTTTATGATATCTTACCAGAATCATAGGTTCACTCTTGTCATCAAGCTTCCTTCTCCTTGCATCAGGAACATACTTGTAACACATAGAGCCAAACACCTTCAAATGACTTACTGATGGTCGTTTGCCACTCCATACTTCTTCAGGAACCTTGTTCTTCAATATCTTAGTAGGACACCTATTCAAAACATAAACTGCAGTCGAAATAGCTTCTCCCCATAAAGACTTTGGCAAATTCTTTTGCTTCAGCATGCATCTTGCCATATCTAATATGGTTATGTTTCTTCTTTCACTAATTCCATTATGTTGAGGTGTATAAGGAGCAGTTACCTCATGATCAACACCATGTTTTACACAGAAATATTCAAACATCTTGGATGTGTATTCACCACCTCCATCTGTTTGCAGAACTTTGATCTTCTTCTCACTCTGGTTTTTTACAAGTATCTTGAGTCTCTTAAAGATTTCGAATACTTCATCCTTTCGTTTGATCACATAGGTCCACATCTTTCAACTAAACTCATCAACAAACGAAACAAAATATTTGTTTCCACCAATTGTATGTTCTTAGAATGGACCACATACATCTGAATGCACCATTTTGAGAATGCAGGATGACCTTATTGACATAGTCGAAATGAAAGAATTTCTGGATTGCTTTCCCACTAAACAACCTTCACAAAGTTTTTCAGGCATCTCAAGGCTTGGAATACCAGTAACCATATCTTAAGTAATCAGTATATTAAGTGATCGAAAATTCAAATGTCCAAACTTCAAATGCCACAAACAACTATCCTTGTGGTCGACAATAGTTTTCAAACATTAAACTTCTGTCGAACTGATCATAGTCTTAAATGTCCTTTTCTTCGACAATGGATATTTTAAGACCAAATTGTTCTTGGTGTCGAACAATTTCAAAACTCCATCTTTCATGACAACTGAGAAACCTTTTAAAACTAGTTGTCCAACACTTAGCAAGTTACATTTTATTCTAGGTACATAGATCACATCTTTGATCATAGCTTTCCCTCCATTATTCATTTTAAAGACTATGTTGCCAGTACCTTCTGCTTGCAATAAACTATTATCAGCAAGTTTTACCTTTCTCTTCTTTGAATCGTCAAAATCTGCCAACCACTCCTTTTGACCAGTCATGTGGTTCGAATAGCCTGAATCGAGAAACCAGATTTTGGGTTCGACATGGTTATCTGCAACTGCATCCATAACCACCATACCACCTTCAGAATCATCTAAATCTTGGTGTGCAAGGTTCTCTCCTTCGTCCTTGCCTGTCGATCCATTGTATTTTCTGTACCAATAACTCTTGGCTAAGTTTCCCCATTTTTCACAGTTATAACATTGAATACCTTTCTTATCTTCTTTGTCCTTTCGATATTTTCCTCCTCAAATTCTCTGCTCTGAGCAGTTTTGGAAGGGAAGGTTCTGATGGATCTAACTTGAAGAAATGCCAGACATGATGTCTTGACTTGTCGAGAATTTGTTATTCTCTTGGTTGTTGTGTTGAGTAGATTCCACTAGTTGGTGTTGGTAATCTAATATGTGATGTATTGACTTCTGCTGTTGTGTCTCTGATTGTGATTACTTGAGTGTTTGATCTTGTTCAAACCTGAGTAGATGTTTGGTTGTTTATGTGTGGAAGAATTTCTAAGTTGTTTTAGCCAAAATAATTTAAATGGGAGATTGTTATTTATCTACTTTTGTGATTGGCATTATGTTTGGTAAAATGAACTTAACAGAAACATGTTAAATGAAGGTGTTCCATCATCTGGAGAAACATGTCGAATAAGATGTCCTATGAGGGTTCTTTCGACATCGTGATTCTATACATCCGGACTGTTGGGTTTTTTAGTTGTTACAGATGTAGAATATTCTAGAAATATCATGTTATCCTATGTGGTGCACAATTTAAAGATTGAGAAGGTTCAAGATGATTTTAAGGAGTATTCTTAGTTTCTAATTATAGAGATAATTTAAGAAACTAATGATTTATGTCCTATCTTTGAGGAGATAATTCTGCAGTGCCTCTATCATATCTAGCTGTGTTCGAGAAGCCCAAATCTAGTATACTGAAGATTATAAAAATAAGGATTCAACCATAGTATTAGTGTGGAGCTTACTATGTATTTTATTAGGGTTTGTGTGTATATTATGAGCCTCTCGATTATCATATTGACGAAAGAGTAGGATTATGCTTTTGAGTTTTAAGTTCTATCAATCATTCCAAAGCTTTGAAGCAGAGAACGATTGTGTGTTTTTGAAGTGTGACTTCTATTTTTGTTCTAAGTGTTTAGAATTGTTCAGTCACTGTGGTGTGATTGGAAGGGATTTGAGAAGGGTCTCATACCTAGGTAAGTCTTAGGTAGAAGTTGTAACGCACCGAATTCTAGATTAATTATTTATTTAATTAATTTAACGTGAATGTATGAGCCCTTGTGATGATAACGTGAATATATATATATATATATATATATATATATATATATGATGTTTTGGTGTTTTCATG